ACGACTGCACCAAGGATGTCTTACATGAACTGCTGCAAGAAGATGATATTGATTCAGACGAAGAGAGTTCCAACGCCGAAACATAAATACAGAACATGGACAAGATAACTTTGTAATAAACTGGCGCTAACGTTGATTAAAGAATAATATAGCAGGGTATTAAATTTCGCGTGGTTAATTTTCGCGAGAACTTTTTTCCGCGGGTATTAAATTTCGCGATTTTTTGAAGATCACGAAAATCGCGAAAATTAAGTCCCGCGAAAATTAGTAACAGTAAGGTATATAATGTTTAAGTCATCTTCAAAACGGTTAGAGCCCATAACCAGGTCAGAACCCCTTTCCCTTGAACGTTTATCTTTCTAATATTATTCAGTTAGAGCAGCTATTCACTTGTGTCTGGAAAATATGTTTATAGCAACTATGAATGCACAATGGTTACTCTTCTAGATAAGAGGGCCAATCTAACTTAAACAACTCTTAGCCAAAACCAGGCACAAACATTTTGCAAGCTGCTAAGCACTTGTGCCCTTGTTGTTGAACCTTAAAGTAAGTGAGGACTACATGTCTAAAATAATCTTATTTTATGTACTTACACCGGACGTCAATGTCCACCACTGTAGATGCCTCTCCACAAGTGTTGATTGCAGTGCACCTGTATTCTCCAGCTTGAGCTCGGTCGATGTTAGTAATGTTCAACAGACTTCTCTCAGTGGGAATGCGCTCACCAGTCTTGACCTTTTCCCAGATAACAGTCGGAACAGGATCGCCTGCAGTCACATTACAGTACACTTCCACACTTTTACCTTCGTTTCTGACAACTCTATTTTCAACCTCCTCCAAAACTGCTGGGACTGTAAAAAAAACAATCAAATATAAAGTATGGCATATACCTTACATTACATGAACTGGACACTGAACATGTGTAGCAACGTTGGTGCTTTGGTAAAAAAACAACCACCTAAAAGTATAGTTAGAGCTAAATATTACCAACAAGAAATGGTACCTATTCAGCTCAACAAAGTAATGCCTAGAGATCAAGAACAGCTTGTTTTGCTTTTGAAGCAAAATAGAACTCTGCTCTTAACAATCTTGTCACCTTAGGTCTGAGGCTTGCTACTTTCAAAAACAAAAGTTAAACCACAATTAACTTTATTCTGTTTATGCCCAATTCCCTCTATGAGATGCACCTGCAGGGAGTCGTGGTATTTGTATTTGTCATCTCAGACTGAGTACTTTGTTTTGATAAATACAACTACCATAATTCCCTACGAGTGCATCTCAAAGAGGGAATTGGGCATTGCGAGATTCCACGTCAGGCTTTGCAGAAGCAAATACAATATTCTAAGTTCTAAAAGTTTTAAGCCTATTTTAAAGCAATATAAGAAAGAAATTAAATGTTTTTCTTTTAGGTAACGTTTTATTCTTACTTTCTTTTGCTCTCTGTAAACTTTCCAGATATTCCTTTCCTGTTTCCTTGCTCTAATATTCAGTGTATAATAAGCTAATGTTCAGTGAATCAGCAGGGAAAATATCTTCAATCTTTTCCCCCTTGAGTTTAAAGCTTAGCTGCCATAATTACCCAGGCAGTGAGGCCTGAGTTTAAATTTCGGCTCCGTTTTTTTTTTTTTT